TTTTTTTAGAGTGTACGAACAAAATAAAAGACTCATTGCTTACATGTCAGTCAGATGGCTTTTCCGTCTAAAGCCCTGTTTACATATAGTAGCTGTTAGATCTTTGGAAGCTTGCATTTAAACTACAATATGGAGTTCTACTCCGAGGCCTGAAACTGGAAACAAAAAAAAAAAGACTAAAACCGCCAAGTAACATCACAGATGTAGTCCTAGGACTAAACGCAGGTAGGCTAACGCACAGTGAATTTGAACTCGCTTTTTACGAAAACTACTGAAAAATAGCAAGGTCCTGACTTGGTCTCAGTCTAGAAGATATAATTTGTTTGGAACAACGACTGTGTAGATCAGGATAAGTCATCAATATTTTTGGTCTGTATTCAGTCTAGTTGTTTCTTCAAACTCAGTAGCCAACTGTTTAACATTCAACTGCGCAACAATACTGCATTTTCAAATAGTTTTCATAATTTTTATAGTTAAACACCATTTGCATCTGACAGCTCCAGTAGCGATGCTCTTGATAACAAGTTATCTACCCACTGATGGGTTGGGAAAGAACTAGTTAAATGTAAATACTCCGGAATACAAAGTTCTCAAGGTAGGCCCTTAAGGTAGCTACTTTAAATCTGATACTTAATTTTAAATGTAGCCATAAAAAATATTAGAGAATGTGTGTGCGAACGTGCTGATATTTGATCCACAATTAAAAATGTACATAATTTCATTAAATGGCGCATATTTAATAGGCCTACTGTTACAGATGTCATTTCTTGCAGAAGACCATACCTTCAAGATCACAGGTGGCTTTTTGTCTTAATGTAACTATGTTCATATAGGCTATTTGAATGTGGCTTACATTGATAGTTTACTCAAAAATGCAAAATTCTGTCATCATTTACTCAACATTATCATTTACATGTTGTTGCAAATCTGAGTTTCATTTTTCTGTGGCACACAAACATTTTTGGAAGTATGTTGGTTTTGCTTTGCTAATATTGACTTTCATTGTATGGGTAAAACACAGTGTCATTTCTGAAAATATCTTCTTTTGTGTTCTACAGAGGAAAGTAAGTCATCCAGGTTTGGAATAACATGAGAGTGAGTAAATAAAGAATTTTTATTTTGGGTGAACTATACTATT